TGCATTGCCAAGCGGAGATAGCAACAGGCTCCACAGTATAACTGCTGCGTACACAGAGCTCGGCATTGCACCAAATGTCCACCAAGTGCGATGTAAATATTTGCCACGATTGGTGACTGAACGGGGAGAACTGCGATCGCATGCTTGATGTTTCTTTACTGCTGAAGTGCACCAGGCTGGTCACTCAGGATGCCTTCACCCTCTTACCTGCTGGAGGGCTGCTATGTGCCGGGCGCTGTGCCGAGGTGCTGGGGTGGGGGAAGCTGGCACGGTGCTCTGCTCCTCACTGCCAGGGCTTAGTGCTGGGAAAGACTGACGGGTGCTCACAGGGGCCTCCGCAGCCTGCTGCAGGGGTCACCGTGGAGCTGCCTTGTGAGGGGAGTGGACATCCTGCCTCGGTGGGGCGGCAGCACAGGGGTCACCCGGGGCAGAGGAGAGGACAGCACCGTGTATGCCAGGCAGGGCAGGATGCGACTGGGAGGCGTGAAAGCTTTCCTGTGTTCTGTTTTTAATTATCATAATAGAAAAATTGACAACCACAGCGATAAAGTTAACAAAGAGCATTTCACCGCCACGTTTTTACATCCTGGAGGTTACAGAGTTTTAGTCTAAAGAGCACACTGCAGTCCCACATTAAGAAAGAGCCTTTTCACTGTAGGAAAAGCCAGTGGGCACTGGGGACCCCAGGTGCTGCGCAGCAAAGGCCTACAAGAAGAGTTAAAATACTTTTATATCAAGGAAACCGCGTACTTTACAAGTTGATTCTGAAAACATTAGTAAGACATAGAAACATTTCTGATTCTCTCAGCATGGAGAGTTGTTAAATGTAGTTGGCAAGTCGCAAGAATAAGGATTCTGTAAAAGTCGAAAGAGTAGAAAGAGTACTTAGAACGCTTTCAGCTGGGGAGTAGGGTGGGGCAGGTGGAAAGGGTCAGAAATCGGAGGAAAGGCAGATTTGTCCAGCAGCTGGTCCCCAGCCCACGGCCCCCCTCAACTGTGCTTCTCGAGGTGCGGATGGCGACCAGTCTCCAGACGTCCTCCAGAGACACCTCCCCATGGGGCAGTGCAGCCTAGGTGTCCTGCCCACTTTGGGCAGCATTCGGCATCCTGACTGGGGTGCTCCAGAAAACCCCGGAGCGTGGGACCAGAGTCAGGTGGAATTCTAGATCCAGGCTCTTCGCTGGAATTCCTGCACCTGGGCAGCAGCCATGACCGGGCGGCCGCCATGACCCCCGCTGTTGCTCAGAAAGGCTCTGATTTCCTCAGTGACTCACAGATTAGGAGTGAAGCTCTGGGGAAACCCGTAATTTTGAAGTCAGAGACAGTACCGCCCAGTACAGTCTTAACTTTGGCACGACTGGCTTTTGGGGGCCGGATCATCGTCTGTCCTGGGGGCTGGGCTGTGTGCCTTTTAAGGGTTCAAGCAGCAACCCAGGCCTCCATCCACCAGGTGTCGCTAGTGCTCCTCCCAGCTGTGGCAGCCAAAATGGTCTGTAGACATTGCCATCATCTCCTGGCAGGCAGAAGTGCCGGCTACTGAGAAGCACAGATAGGCTGGCTGGAACCAGAACCTTTGTAGTTAGGAGCCCTGAGCCCATGATCCTGTGCCTCTGCTCTCAGCTCAGCCTGGTGTCCCTCCAAGCCTCCTCCAGACTCAGGTTCCTCAAGGTGCATGGTTGAAGCACCCTCCTGCCAGCTTACCAAGCTGTCAGACCCACGGAGAGTGCCGTTTCCAGCTGAACGCTTGGAGCTGTAGATGCCAGTCCCTGGCTCATAAAGTTACTGGTAGGAAGACTGCTGGGGAGATAGGCACAGGGGAGCCAGAGGCAACTTGGCCACACGGAATGGGGCTCCCCGTCTCTATTCCCAGTGCACAGCCCACCTGCCCTGTCCTCTGCCTCTCTCACTGAGTGGCCTTGGGCAAGGCCTGAGAGCATGCTGGGATGGGAGCGGCCAGGACAGGTGGCCATGGATGATTCGGGTGTCTGGAGTTCTCCCGGGCCCCGAGCACAGAACCCTGGGCCTCCCCAGCACACAGCGCTGCCCACCTTGGGGACTGGCCATCAGCGGGCATCTGCAGGGTGCAGCCATAGGGCCCGGTGGCAGCTGGCAGAGAACACGTCCCATCTCAAGGCTGGCTGGCTGTGGGGCTTCTGGGTGGTTCCAGTCAGGTGCTCTCTAAGCCCATCTTCTGTGAGACCCAGGACCAAGTGCACAGCACAGCTCCCGGCCCTTTGCACACTCACACTTGATGCTGGCAATCTGGCTGCAGGCCCTCCGGGACCAGAACCAGGCCGTAGGCTCTGAAACGCTGTCCCAGGCAGCCTGGCCCAGAGGGCTCATCTCAGAGGCTGTGGGCACAGGGAGCTCAGGGCAGTGCCCACCAGGCTGTGGCTGGGTCTTGGCTTCTTCTCTGTGGGCTCTCAGGCCAAGGGCCTGGCCTCAGTTTTCTTGACAGAAAAATGGGAAAAATCAGGTGCACACCCTGCACCCTCATACCTGCCCCCAGGGAGATTTGGGGGACTAAGAGATTCGCACAGAGCACTTGACACAAGGAAGATGCGCAAAACAGGTGTGGGGAACAGTGGCCAGTGACAGCTCTGCTCCTGATGGGGGGAGCCCCATGTCTGCAGAAAGAGCAGGTCCTTTGCTGGGAAGGGATCGGGTGGCCACACTGATGACAGTACATGTGGCCTGGGCTCTTGGCTGTGGGGACAGGTTCTGATACATGCTAATGTGGTCTGGCCAATATCCCAGCCCACCACTTAAGACAGGGCTGGAAGCCGGGCTGTGGTCACAGCTGTGTGGTGGTAGCCTGTCCTCCCTGCCTGCTCCCTGGGACTTGGGGACTTCTGCGTGGACATCCGGGCCTCTCTCTGGAGAGGGGAGGGGTCTCCCTGTCTTCTCAGCCTTCCAGCAAATGTATGCCTCTCTGTGAGAACCAGCTCTTGGAGTGATAACCCCCTTTCTTTCTCAGCACTGACCTCACATCTAAGGGCTGGGGATCCACCCCATCCAGGGAAAAGGCAGGACAGAGCCCTGGCTGGGGCCTGAAAGAAGAGGACACATGTCCCCCTGCCCAAGAGAGCCTGAGCTTAGAGGAAGGCCTGTGCTGTGTGGGTCCCAGGACTCTGGGGGGACATGAAGAGTTCTCCTCTGTGGGTGCACAGTCTGCGGGGCCCCGATCTCAGCCAAGGTCCCTTCTGCACACATCCCAAGGAAAGCAGGCCCTCAGAAGCTCACTGCGGCTTGGGGAGGCCTACATGGTGAGTCTTATGGGGCAGTAGAGCCCAGGCAGAGAGGGATGCAGCACGGGTCCCACTCCCCACCCTGAGGACATCAGGGACCCATGGGGACCAGAGGTGGCCCAGGCCAGCACGAAGTGGCCCCCCAGGAAATAGAGCCTGGAGATCAGGCCAAGTCACACAGCCACAAAAGGCAGGCTGGTGTCAGTGGCTTTAGAGCCTGGGTTCCTTGCTGCTGGGCAGCCTCAGGAGGCTAACTTCCTCCCCCAAGCCTGGTGGTGACCTGGGCAGTGGGGTGATGTCAGGAGGGAGATGGGCCTGGGATTCTAGCCTAGAACCTGAATGTGACACTGTGGCATGAGGCCAGGTCTCTGCTTCACCTTGCCCTAGAGCAAAGGCAGAACCCTGCGGGGGCAGCCGGAGGGTACAGAAATCTGTGATGGTGGAGAAAGCAGACTGGGAAAGTGCAGGAGGTGGGGATGGGGACTGAAATCTGCCACCTGCTGCTCTACAGGGCGCAAGCCAGCTCGGGCCCAGGGCCCAGGGGTGCTATGCTGGAGCAACCCGGAAGAGCTCAAGCCCCCCGCAAGCCTAGCTCCTTGGCTGCCCTCAGCTTGACCCCTGTCTAAGAACATCCTAGTCAGGGGAGTCCCACTGTGTAGGGCTCTAAGAAGGCACCCAGGGCCAACAGCTCAGTCCCGTCCCCCTGGCTGCCAGTGTTGGCTGGCTCTGCACTCACGGCTTTGCCTTAAAGGATGTGTTCGTGGACGGATGTGTGGCTGAAGGACAGGTGTAGCCAGTAAGAGTTGGCAGCCTCAGGCACACTGTCTGGAGGCCCAGCTGGTAGCTCTATTGGCTCGCAGCTCCCAGCAGCTGCCTCTGGGCAAGGGAGGCACCTGTTGCTGTCATGGAGCACACTTGTGTCCCAAGACCACAGGGGCACTGGGCCGAGACTGCTCCTTCCAGGCCGCTGCTGCGGGAAGTGCTGCCCACTCCAGTCTGGGTGCAGAGCTTCCCTCTTTGCAGGGACCCCCCACATGCCACGTCTTAAGAATTTAAGGAAACGGGTTAGGCAGAAGCACCTTCAAAGCTGCAGCGCAGTGCAGAGCTCACCAGAACCATGGCTGAAATGCAGGAGCTGGGTGGCCTGCCCAGCTTCCAGCTGCATCCAGAGCCCTTGCACATACATGTTCCCACAGGACACGCATGTTCCTGCCACACCTGCCAAGGCAGGGACCTGCCCATGACAGCCAAGCCAGCTGGAGAGTAAGAGGATGGAGGCCTTTCCATGCGCTTTCAGTCACCAGCCCTGGGATCACAGGCAAATCGCATCCCACCCATGCAATAATTGGGTGTGAAGACTCACTCTGTGACTCTTCAGAGAAGAGAGCCTGGCTGAAGAGCTGGCTGCCTCACGTTTGAAGGCATCTTTCATCTTTCTCTCTTCTTAAAAAGATCAGTCCCTCCATCCCTAGATAAAAAGCCCCTACCAACCACCCACAAACCTCACTACCGGCAACCCCACTCCTGTGTTTCCTGTTGTGCTTGGGTCCCATAGAGAGCCAGGTGTCAGAGTGTCCCTTCTAAGTCCTACTAGGAATGCTCTGTGGCCCTCCAAGATCACCATTATTAGAAGGGCTGGACATGAAACCAAGCCACAGTTCTCAGGGCTGCCCCTGCCCCGCCCCCACACACCACTTGGAGGAGTTTGCATAAAACCGGGACACACAAGTAATTTTTACCGCTGGCGAGTGATCACCAAGCCACATCCGTGTTTTAACCCTGCTGAGCTGTTGTTCCTCCTGGTCTGCGGTTCTGGGGCCACCATTTCAAGCACTCTCCAGCCAGTTCTTTGGAGCCTTGTCCCACCATGCCTCTGGGAGCTGAGAGTCCAGGTTGGCATGTTTCCGGAATCCACTCAACTGTGGTTCAGGATCTGAAATCAGGACCTGGGGGGGTGGCAGTTCTGGGATGCGTGGCTGCTGCCTCATCGACAGCCCACTCAAGTGGGCAGAACTCCTAGTTCTCCTTTGGAGCAGCCAAAGGCCAATGGCAAGCCAGAGCCAGGAGGGAAGCCTCAGCCCAGCACAGGGGGGCCATCCTGGAATGGCCGGGGACCGTGCCTCAGAAGGTGAAGGCGTACACCACGCCAACCACCACGATGTTGCCCAGCGTTGCTATGATGGCGATCCACAGCAGGACGGCGTCGTTGGAGGAGCGGGGAGGCTCCTCCAGCTGGCCCTGGCCGTTGGAGGCCGTGTGGACGTTGGTGGAGGAGTTGAACAGGGAGTACTCAGTGCTGAAGTCCTCGTTGGGTGAGTCCATGAACGCTCCTCCCATCATGGGCAGCTGTGGGGAGGACAGAGAGAGTCACCCAGGGCCACAGCAGGCAGCAGAGACCCCGAGCGAACCAGACCGGCCCAGTGACCGGTGGGAAACCAAAACAGGCCAGCTGCATGGGCCTTTGCTTTTGTTTGAGGTGACTTGATAGTGGGTGTTTTAACCTGCTCCACAGCAGGAAGCTCGAGCAACTCCTCTGCAGCTGGTTGGCAACACGGGGAGCACAGCCCACACCCCACACCAGGCCTTCCAGGACAAATGCGCTGTAAATGCCTTCCTTCTAATTTAAAAAGTAATCTATGGTGGGGGTAGAACTCTGAGAAAATGTTAAAGACAATGAAGAAAACTTAGGCCCATAATCAGCATATTGTCACGATTACTATTTTGATATATTTTCTGTCTGTTTTCTGTGTCAGAGAGGGAGGGAAGAAGGAGAAGGAGAGGGAGGGAGGCCTCACTTAAACGCATGCTTTTATATCCACACAGACAAAAGACCAATCCACTTGAGTTGTGCAATTCCCCTTCATAAACACAATATTCTAGTGTAAGTATGAATAACTTAACTTTTCCCTTGGAGTGGGGGTTAGGAATTTCCACTTCTGCCTGTCACAAATCGTGTAGCGAGAAGCACCCTTGCACACCTATCTGATGCGCATAAATCCTTGCACACCCATTTTACCTTCAAGAGTGGCCTCCCACATACACAACGTCTGACTTGGCAGGTGTGACATTTGATTATCTGATGCAGGAACAAACTCCCCCAAGACAGCGATTCTAATTTCTACTCCCAAGCCCCACAGCCCAGCCCCCAGCAGCCCATGTTTTCCTCCAGGAATCAGAACTCCCACCATTGTTTTAAAGGCCTCCCGATGCCCAGCCTGCAGGGGGGAGGTCAGTGCCCACGGGCACCGTGGGCACAGTCACATAAAGGGCCCTCGCTGCTCCAGCCCAGGAGTCAGGGCTGAGCCCCACAGCCCTGCATGGCCCTCCCCAGAGGTAAAGGTGGGAGTGCATTCGTCCCCAGCGCTTATCTGGCAGCTCTTCGCTCTACAACAAACGCTTCTCTGGAATAGGACCCGAATGGAGGGACAGGTGACAGTTCTGCCTTCCCTGGATGCACTGATGTGCTGACCCTTCACTGACCACTCTACTACCAGGGTGCAACTGGGGACTGAGCTGGAGATCCCAAAATGCCCATTTAGTCATTCAACTATACTGGTGGAGGGGATTGCTGTACCCCATTTCACAGATCGATAAGCTAAGGTCAAGGTCACAGTGAGAAGCTGTGCTGGACTCAGGGCTGGAGTCCAGTGTGTCCCCCTGGGCATTTCCAGCTCTGCCTGTGTCCACCCCGCACCTGAACTGTCAGGCACTGATTGAGTAGCCATGCTGAGCTGGCTCTGTGCCTGACTGTCACAGAGTCCCGGGGGCTTCTTGATAAAGGAGCAAGGAGTCAAGGAGCACCTGCTTCAGATAAGAGCAACTTCCCAAGGGCTTCGCTAGAAGGAGCTCAGCGTTTTTATTTCTAATACGGCTCTGCCCTAGGGTGGAACCTGGGGTGTAGTGACTGAAACTGGCCACTGGAGGGAGCCTGGGACAGGCCGGGCCCTGCTGAGGTGGGCTGAGGGCTGCAAGTGAGCTCGTGTGTACTGATGTACTACCCGACGGACTCCTGACACGTGCAGCGTAACACATATAGGAACGCTTAAATTACCCGTCTTTCAGTATATTGGTGAATACAGTGACAGCTATAAATAAGAGTGTAACAGATTACAGATGCTCCTGGACTGACAAAGACATCTAGGTTGAAAACAGCACGGGCCCTGCACGGACTGCACCCTGCCTGGTTTAACCAGGGTCAGGGCTGGCCAGCCCCGGACTCCCAGGGGCTACAGATTGTTAACCCCGAAGGAGCCAAATCCCAAACCTGAAGTGCTAATTGCACACCACTTTCGCACCCTGGTAAAGTCACAAAACCCCAAGTAGCACTTTGTGGGCTAGGGTGTGATTTGGGGGAGAATACGTGTGCTAAACTCGGGGCTGAAGGTCGACACTGGTGAGATCTGGGGCCGCGCTTGGGCCCCACTTTTGCGGTGCAGGTCAGACGGGGTAAGACGCCTGGGGCACGTGCCAGCCTGCTGGGCGGGTGGGGAGGGGGAGGCCGGGCTATGCACACTGCAGCCCAGCAGGGGCCTGGAGGCTGCAGCCAACCGTTAGGCCCAGCACCTCTACCCCTCACCCAAAGACCCTGCCCACTCCAGCCCGGGGCTTGCCCGTGCATGGCCCCTGCAGGCATCTGTGGGCGAGATTTATTGGTTGCTATGGAATTCCTCTCCTCTTGTCCAGGTCAGGCAAGATGGTGCCTAATAAATATCTTTGGCCAGGTAAATGACCCCCAGTTTCTCCGGAGCTGTGGGGGACTCCACTCTAGGAGGGCACCTCTCTTCTCCAGGTCACATCACAGTGTCTCTGTCTGGCCCCCACCATGGAGGTCCCCTGTGTGCAGGAGACCTCTGAGGAAGAGGCACCCTCGTGGGCTGAAGCTTGCTCTTGACCCCCAAGGGAAGGTCCCGACACCCTGCCCCCCCCCGCTGGCCCCTTCAGGGGCTTCCAGACTGGGCTCTCCCTGGACTCCATGGGGCCTCCTTCCTGTGGGGATCTCCGGGCCCCAGGAGAGTGAGTTTATGCACCCGCATGCCCTGGGGAGCCTCCCCTCCGGGGCCCCACTGCATGTCTGCATCCTCAGTTCCTTCATGTGTGTGCTCAGTGCCTCTGCGTGTACATCACCCCGCCAGCCCCACCAGGCCTGCTCCCCACAAGCTCCCTTGGCCCCTTCTTAACAGACTAAATGTGACAGAGAAAGCCAGGGCTGTGGAATCACAGGGGCGCCCCATGCTGTGCCGGGCAGTGGACCGGACCCCAATGTGCCAGCCTCCCCCACGCCCACCCCAACCCCCGCCCCGCAGCTGCAGTGAGTGTGGAGTAGTTGGAAGGGGCGGCTTGTGCTGCACTGATTCTGCTGCCCCTGAACTTGGGGGCCGGGTGCGCTGCATGTGAGAAAGACTGGGGCAAACCCTGCCTCACTGCACGCGCAGCGGCCGAATTTCCTTCCCATGCGCAGTGGAGTTAACACGGACCTTGCGAGTGTTGCCAGGGCCCGGCCGGGGCCACGGGAGACGAATGGGGATCGTCCTCCAAGGCGCAAGTGCCGGAAGCCAGGGCTTCAGGGCGGTGATGCTAAGAGCGGGTGCAGCCAGCAGAAGGTTACAGGGGTGCTGCTCTCAGAAGGAACCAATAGCTCTCCTGAGACCCCAGTGGGCTCCTGCAAGAAGACTGCTGCAAGGGAGCGAGGCGGCCCTTCCTTGGCCTCCGGCTGACCATCTCATGATGCAGCCCCTTCCTGTCACATGTATCCCACCATGGTGTTCTCCGCCCAGATGCCTCCTCCCTGCAGGAGCTGGAACCAAGCTGTCTGGATTTCTGCCTCCAACACTGTAATCTACATAACCTCTTCTTTTTATAAAGTACCCAGCCTCTGCTCTTTCATCATAGTAACAGAGAACAGGAGCCTACATTCATTTAATGACTACTAATATTCTTCTCTTCTGCTGGGCTTGCAGCCATGCCACACTGAGCGTATTACCACGGGTCTCTTCTACTTCTTAATCAAAAGCAGGGGAGGCAGGACCAGGCATGCTCTCCATAGGATTGGTTGGTTCGTCACACACTCCTCTGCTTGCGCTTGCCAATGGACGAGCCCTACACCTCCTGCTTATGCTGAACCCAGCTGCCAAACGCTGCTCTGAGCCCATCTGCCTCAGGTTTCTTGGTATTGTCTGGTTTCTATGAATTTTTTTCCCTCCTTTGTAAAATAGGTCTAAACTCAGAGTGCTTCAAACAGCAAAATCCCACCACTGGGCAACAAGAGGCCAGACTCGACTCCATCATCTGAGCTTGGAAAGACTTAAGCAAGAGCTGGGCTTTGGCCACGGGAGGAACTTGGCTGAAGATACCCGGGAAGCAGGCAGAGCAAAGCGTTGCAGTCAGAGGCCACCCCGCCAGAGGGGTCTGCTTTTAAGCCACACCTTGGATGTTCTGTGTGTGTGTGTGTGTGTGTGTGTGTGTGTGTGTGTGTGTCTTTGTTGAAATGAGCCAGTGAGCTTTGAAGCAGTGGGCAGGGGCAACCAGGCAAGGGAATCTAGGGTGGCATCTTGGCGGGCTGGCTGCTCGGCTCTACCTTTATCACCCCCGGAGCTCCAGAACACAGCCTTTTTAGATGGGAGGGGTGAAGGGACTCCAGGGAGCTGGGAGTTTGAGGGGATCCCCAAGGCAGCCCCAGGAGTCAGTGCTACATTGGCGGTGAGGGTGCAGGGACTAGAGCCCTCAGATGAGGAGCAAACTCACTCCATGAGGGTCCGGAGCGAAAATCTGCTCCAGGCCTCAGCCCTGGGCCGGGAGGTGGCCATCCTCTCCCTGGTCTCACCAGAGCTTCTCTCCTTGGTGTGCACCTGTGTCCAAGCTCCCACTTCTTACTGGGACATAGGACATATGTGGAGCAGGGCTGCCCTGGAGACCTCATTCTGACTCGCTCGACCCCGGAAAGCCCTATCTGCAGTCACATCAGGAGGCCCTGGGGGTTAAGACTTCAATATTCAAATATTGGTGTATTTTTGTTTGTTTTGTTGAGACAGGATGTTGCTATACAGTTCACGCTACCATTGACCTCATTATAGAGACCAGGCTGGCCTCAAACTCACAGCCCTCCTGCCTCAGCCTCAGGTGCGCTGAGGTCACGGGTTTGTGCCACCTCTCCCGGCAACACAGGAATTCTGGAGGACATCGTTCAGCCAATATACCCAGCCTCTTATGTCCAAGTGCATCACACTTCAGCTGTCCACCCTTAGTGACAGAAAAAGAGAACGAGCAGAGATGCAGAAGGCCTGGAGGCCCTGCGACCATGGGGACCAAGGGACGCTGCTGAAGCTTGCACCTGGCAGAACAGCCTCTTC